GATCTCTTTCTTGGCTCCCGCTCTTGGCTTGTGCTCTTGACCAGGCAGGCTTGGTCTCGGCAGGTCATTTGGGATCCCAGGTCAGCAGAACGGGTAGGACACATTTAAGAATTTATCTCACTCTTTTTCTCCCTGAGTTGTAAGGGGCAGGACAGGCCCAGAGCAGGTTCTCTATGACCCGAGCAGACAGGGTAAGGAGGAGTCCTGGAGCCCTCATTGGCTTTTCAGGCTTTTTTCCTCTTGGGATTTACCAAGTCCAGGGCAGGCAGGGTGCTGGGCCTCCCAGCCCCCAGCAAGTATTCACTCTGTCTGGGCTCTCCGGCATTCTCTCGCATTCTCTCTGCTTCTCTCGTGGTTCTGCTCTCTCCTAATTCTTCATGCTTCTGCTGGTGTCCCCATGATGCCACCCTTATAAGCCCAGTCTTAGCCCAGGTGAATCCACTTAAGCATGCCCACACCCTATTCCAGGTGCGGGCCATCAGGAATGCATTCAGGACCGCAGGGAACTGTCATCAATCCTTATGGCAGGAGGGCAGAAAAGCCTGATAACATTTTTACCTTACCCTACAGTTGTTCATTTCCTCATTTCCCCTTCCTTTTTAAATAAACCTTTTGTTAACCTTTTGTGTGTGCCTGTAGTTTAAGTCCTCTTTAAGCGCATGGGTGAGGATCCACAGTCAGGCAACCCGTTTTATATTGGGGCTGCCCTATAACACTAATACTTCACATAGTTGATTAGTGTTTTGTCCACTAATTATAATTGTGATCTTCAGGATGGTTAGCCTGATTCTTCATTACCAGAACTGGAACCTAAGTATTATATTTTAATTTCTTCAGTGATAAGAGATCTTGGGTTCCTGGAACCAGTTTAAACACATGGAGGGCTGCTTACCCACATTAACAACAAACAATTTTCTGGACACCATATGGGTATCCTACAATTTAACTTATTGTAGGATAAGTTTAACTTCTGACATTATCTACCTGGAGATGTGTAGAGTAAGTAAGTCTCAGGCTTTTCTGCCCTCCCTCATTAGGATTGATGATGGATCCCTGCTGTCCTAAATGCATGCCTGATGGTGGACACCTGGAATAGAGTGTGGGCATGCGTATATGGGATACACCTGGGCCAAGAGCCGGGGCCTGTAAGGCCAGGGCGGCAGAGGATGGCGTGGTATGGAGCGTCGTGGCATGGTGTGGAGTACTGAGCAATGCGGTGGAGTGCTGCATAGTGTGGGGTACGGAGCAGTGCCGTGGAGTGCGGGGGAGTGCGGCAGTAAGCGGGGGAGTGCAGCAGTGAACAGTGGAGAACATGAAAACAACAAGAGGTCTGCTTGAACCGGTGATGAACCTACCCGGTATGGGATGGTTGCACTACAAGATGGCTTCAGATTGCACAGGTAAAAGGCTCAGCCTACAAGACTGCACCCATCCCCAGACCTTCAGGGGTCAGTTACAACCCCAGGTTATCACTTACCTGTACTTCCTACAAAATGGTTATGAATCAAAGGTTCCCAAGAACTCTTCCCTGGATTCCATTAATTTGCTAGAGCCACTCACAGAACTTAAGAGAAATGTCTTCTAGATCACTGACTCATTATAAAAGGATGTAAGTCAGAAACAATAGATGGTAGAGCTGCATAGGACAGTGTGTGTGGGGAGAACATGGAGTGCTCAAGCACATCAGTCTCCCCTAATCTCCAGGTGTTCTCTCACCTGGAGACTCTCCTAAACCAGTCCCTTTGGCTTTTTATGGAGCCTTCATTAGCCAACTTGATGAACTCATTGACCTCAGGAAACAGATTCTCTTGCTCTTGGAACTAAAAGTTCTCTCTATATGGCTCTGGGGGTTGGGGTCCAAAATCGCCTTTTATATAACAAAAGACATCTCTCTAGCTCTCATTACTTGGGAAATCCCAAGAGTTTTAGGAGTTCTGTGCTAGTTCTGTGCTCGAAACCATGGATGGAGACCAAATATATATACTTTTAATATAAATCACAGTATCAGGTATCAAAACCAAACCGGTCTGATCTTTGACCTCATAATTCATTCTGCATATTATTAATATAGTAATAATAATAGTAATAGTAGTGATAATAGTACAGTGTCAGATTAAAAATAAAACTTTAGTAAGAGAAAATTAACTTGTGAAACAATTCTCTAGTACCTTTTCAAAGGCTTGTCTTGTGAGAGGATGCAGAAGGTAGTTTTCTCCTCACTGCTTTTCAATGTAAATAGTTATGCATATATACATGTATTTACAATTAAACTATAAGCATATTTATCAATGGTTATTTATATGCCATAATGTGTTAGAATAGTACTATTATGGCAGAATTCCATTAGAGAACCAGGCAGCACTCAGAGAGAAGGGAAAATTTTTATTTGCCCAGCAGGCCCAGAGGAGGAGATCTTTCTCCAAAATCTGAGCCCCTAGCAATTAGGTAATGGAGTACTTATTGCCTAAGCAGGGGTATATTTGCACTTTGAAGCAAAAAGGGAGTACAGAAGCAGATTTCTAAGTGGTTATCTAGGGTGCATGAATGTGGCCTTGAGAACATTTATCAGTTTACTCCCTGGGACCTTTAGGTTACATTGAGTCTTTGTCTCAACATCAGATAATTAACAGGCCAGGTGGGTATTTTCCACTTCAGTACATATTATAAATCTACCATCTTTAAAATGGGCATTAATGTAACCAAAAGTTGATTAAAAAGAAATCACTAGATAAGTTCTCTTGTAAATACCAGTGACTGTATTTGCAAAAACATATATTAAAATACTTAGAACATATATTAGAATACATTTTTTTTTTTCAGAGAACAGCCGCCAGATAGGAGAGATCTACAGAGACATGCTGAAGCTTGCTAGCTAGAAATAGCACAGTTAAAATTGTACCCAGATACTATAAAAAGCAAAGTGTCTTGTATGGATTCTCAGTCTACTGGGAAGTGTTCCATTACTGAAATTGATTAAAGGGTGCAGGGATCATTATGATATGGATATTGATCAGTATTTGAATTGCTCTTTGGTGATAGCATTCATTCTCACAATCAAGAAAAAAATTCACAATTTCCAACAACATTTTCAACTCAATGGCCGGCATTTTTGTCTGGTTTCTTTGCTTTGTGTTTTAAAGCTTAAGATATTTCACATAATTTTATTTCCATTTTCTCTGGCAACTCTGGCACTAGCAATTGCAGGCTCCACTGCAGATATGCCCACTTTCCATCACTTGCCTAATTAAAAAACAACCCTTTTGTTTATCTCACTTGCTTGGGGTTTATAGGCCTTTGAGTATGTCATTGTAGGCCTACAAAAATACAATATGATCAAATATCTTCCCTAAGAGCAAGTATAAAGCTACTGACAACCTAGGCCTCTTTTGTTAAAACTTTGGTTAAAAACTGTAAACACAAAGGGTCCAAAGTGCTTCAAAGTAGAGGAGCAAGAGAATTACAAAGAAAGGACTTTACATTTGCTTGCCTGCAATTTAATCACAATAGAAAGCAGCCCACTAACAGCTGCATGTGAACATTGTTGTTTTAATTGGTGTTTTCCAAATGCTATAAAATAACTACAAAGGCTGATTTCTAATGGGGAGGTTTTCAGATGTGACTGGTCAGCCTTTTTTCATTGTCAGAATGTACCTCCTCAGCCTATGTCATCAGCAGAAGCCACAAGTGACTCTCTGCTTTCCATGGGTATGTTTTTGGATTGTAGCTACGTATGTAGTCACTCATCTCCTGTTTTATTCCTATGCCTCCTGTGCTTTTTATTCTAGTTCCCTAAATGGAAGACTTTGTAGAAAAAAAGAACTGGTTTTGCAATTGATTCCCTGTTGATTCGCTTCATCTGTTCCTCTTCATGAGCAAGTTTGCTATAGTCTCTTCATTCTTTAGGAACCTTGAAACCCTACTCCAGTTTCTTCCCCATGATAAGTGGAGTTCCCTCTGTAGTGGAAAAACTAGGTTGGTATGGAGCGATAGCGCCTGTGTATCAGTATCCATGGTAACATTCTGGGCACGAAGGAGGCACACTGATACCACTCATTCTCCCCAGAAATTTTCAGTATTGTTACCAAGTAGAATAACAACAACAAAAATTCAATAAGCAAGTAGAATTCCTTTATATTCAAATTATTTGAATAAATATTCAAATACATCCTCTTTACCCTCCTTTGCTCACCTTCCCTACAAAAATCATCCCCTATTTGTGATCTGTATTACTTAATCATGCAGCTATCTCTGTGCTTCAGCCTTCAAGTAGTTTGTTTTTACATTTTCACTGGGCATGGAGAGCAGAAAAGGGACGTGTGAGTTCTGGGGAAGCATAGAAATTATTTTTTTAATATAATTTTGTCAATGTTTTCTCCCTTCATTCAAACTGAAAATCCACTACATCTGTTTTCCTGCAGGATGGTTTACAGAGAAACAGCCACTCCTCCCTACCCCCCACCCCCCAGTGTTACCACGATTTCTAAGACTGCACTATTTTAAAAAATTCTTGGCATATCTGACGAGACAAGCCTTCTGTCATTGGTGATATAGTTTAAGGGCTTCCTAAACCACCTCTCACTCCTCATCAAAGCCAGTCTTTTGCGTACTTGTGTGCAGTGAAGGGTTAAAACGCGCTGGGAAGACACCACGCATGTGTTAATTCCTGCTGCAGCAGCGCGCATCTCAGCTGCTTTGACCTCACAGTTAATCTGCGTGATAGTTAATCACGCACAGACGCTAGTTATTTTTCTATTGCTTTTAAATACACACACACAGCCCTGCCCCCTCTAAGAGAAAAATAAAAACAAAAGCAATCACACCTAAAAAACGATAATCCTAGGGGAGTCTGCTTGAGAGCGAGAGACATGAGTTTGTGTGTGTGTGCGCGCCTTTCTCTCCCTTATTTGTCTGGATGTGCGCCTCTCCCAGTGCCCTCCCCCTACCTCAATTATATTAAACCCCCCACCACCACCACCACCACTTGGAAGCCGCTCCCTGAGCTGGCGCTTTGATGGTATCTGTGAGCGTTTGTGCTGATCTTATTTCTGCTCCCTAAATATTAATTCCCGAAACTGGTAGCAGTACATCTCGGTGAGGGACCTACTAGAGGCAGGTGGGGGAGGCACCATCAGATCATAAGCATAATAATACAAAGGGGAGGGATTTTTCAGCTACCCAGAGGCAAGACGGGAGAGGGAGGAAGGGAAAAAAAAAAAGCGATGAGTTCGCCAAATAGATGGAGCACAGGAAGCTCAGTCTACTCGACTCCTGTATTTTCACAGAAAATGACGGTGTGGATCTTGCTCCTGCTAGCGCTCTACCCCGGGTAAGATGTGCCATTTTCGGCGTCGTTTTGTTCCAGGGAGGTGGGGGAAGGGGTGGGCTTATGGAACTACTGAGACACCCCTCTCCCCCAGATTTAAAACACTCTTCTGGGAATTGGGGTTTTATAAGTAATATTAGGGAATGTGAATATATCGGACAGAAAAGGGAGAGAGGAAAGAGTAAGGTGATTTTTGTGTATTAATCTTTGAATTTTTTTTTTCATTTGTTGAGGCATGGAAAAGCTAACATAAAGACTGTTTGGAGTAGAATTTTTATATTACTGCTACCTGATAGCGAGGTGGGCTGTGCTGAGGCACGCAGGCATTTGATGCCATGTTGGAGTCATTTTCGTTGGGGGGGTCTGGAGGGGAAGCGGTAAATGGAGGGGGGGTGTCTTGGCTCATACTCAGGTGATACGTGAGAGGAGGAGGGGGAGGGGTTCTGTTCTAGTACACCAGAGCATTGCTTACACCTGGGAATCCTAAAGGTCAGTCAGCCTGATTTTCTATCCAGCCTCATGGACCTGACCGCTGACTCTCTGATGGGAAACATGGTTCAGGACCAGGGACAGCAGTCCCGCTTAAGGCCAAGGGGATGGAGGCTTGTTTAACCTCAGGACTTCACTATGGAATATGCACATGACATCCATATAGTGCAGACAGAAGGCGGAGAGAGCCAAGGAGCATCCGTGAAGTCCAGGGATCATGTTCTGATTATCCCTACCCCCTCCATGAGATGGAAGCTGGTCTGTGTGGTGGAGAATGTGGTTGATCAAATGCATGAAGGAATTTATGTCTAGGAAAGAGTTGGTCTTGCTGCAGTGTTAAAAAATATCTGAAGCAGGTGGATGTGATGCCAAAATTGTGAAGTATACACGAATGTTTTAGAGCCTTGATGCACTGAACAGAAAAGACGGGGAGGGAGGAAATGGTTTACCCCAAACCCTGAGGCATACGTGTATTCTGAAGTGCTTTGCACCTAAATTTTCTTGAACTTTCTCCCACTGAGAATATTAGGAAAGTATCCTTCCCATACAGTTCATCATTCATCATTCATCTACCATCTAACCAGCCCCGCTGCCTCCCCAACCCACCCTCAAGATCTCCAGACAGGCCAAAGGAAGATTAGAGGTCTACTCTGTATCTTACCTGCACTCTTTTATACTATCATTTTGAAATAAAGCTCTGTAAATTACACCAAATTCTCCATGAAAAAGAAGAGAAAAACCAGAAATACAGAAAAACCAAGCTATTTTTCTAAGTTTTGTGGGAGATGACACTCTTGTGTAGTAGTTGTAACAACAAGATATGAAAGGAATGAAGGTTAAGCTATTATTTTATTGAAAATACCTAATTATCTTCTCGTTCCTCCATTCTGTAGGGTAGGTAATGGGCAATGCAGATTTCTGATAAAGAATAGATCTAGGCAAAACAAGGAGTAAGAAAGCATCTGTTTGGAGTTTCTAAGTAGAGGCAGTCTGCTTAATTCTTCAAATAGACTTCATCTCTTTTTTAATGTAATATGATTTTTTTATTAAGAGTATATGATTAATTATCATTCTTATAAGTGGAGAAGGCCTTTTATTGGAAATGATTTATATAAAATTTTAGTAGACTCCTGGAAAAAAAATTCTATTAGAACTTGCACATACACCTTTTTGTTTAATGTGTATAGTGCTTAATTTTTTTTCAGAAACTAGAGAATTTAATAGTGGATTTCAGGTAGAAAATGTCATTCTCCTATTTTTACTATCAGTGGAACCTGTGGATTAAAATGTGGATAAGACATACCAAGTATGTCTTTCAACTCATGAAATACATCTTAGTAAACAATTTTAGAACTAAATATATAAGAACATTCTTAGTATTTTATCCTACGGTCTTATTTTAATCAAAACCATGCAATTTTATTATTGTTTATGATAGGAACACATGTAAGACTGATTGTTGCAATAGCCACACCTTTTTCATTATCATATAAAAAGTAAAACTGAGCAATAAATTTTAATTTTCACTTCTTAGTGTAGTACAGCTTTTTAACTAGCTGTAAGTAATTGAAGTTATTTGTTGTGAAACTCCAGTGGGGGTGGAGATTCACATTTCTCAGTGATGACAGAAAATTGGAGTCATTGCAGTTTGGTGCAGAGATTGAGAACAGTTTCAGTTTACTGGAATCCCATAAAAAGTCATTTGAATGGTTGAATAGAGTGGAGAAACACAAGCTTTAATCTGTGAAATGTGTGGGGTCCGAAGAGTGAACATGATAGTTTTTCTGTGGCAGAACCACTTAGAAAGTTGACAGAAAAATGAAAAAAATAATTGACTTTTACCTGTCCCCCAAAAAATATTTTCCCCTCCTCACATTGACTATATTCATTAAGTTGTGCTACACAAAAGTAAAACAAAGAGAACTACAAAACATTGACATGAGAATATGAATAATCAATAGCTAACTTAAGTAGGAAATACTTTCTCAAGCTCAATATTATCTAAATTGTTACATATCTGTGTACAGTGTCATAAGAATCACCTGGGGGACTTGTTAATGAAAATGAAGATTCATGAGCTATATATACACTGAATGATTCTGAATCCTTATATCTGACGTAGAGCTGGGAATATTTATTTTCATCAAGTACCCTAGACCGTCTACATAGAAGAAAGTGGTATATGCTTTTTTAAATATTTGCAAGTGCTTTGATTTTTGTTGATCTACTATTGAGCTGAACACAGTGAGTCAATTTCACATATGGAATTTTGTATTTGTATGTACTGAGTGGATTATACAAACATAAAAGATAAGAAATAGTCCCTCTAAAGGATCTCAAAACCATCTCTTGTAAGAGAAAACATTGGATAAGAGAATAAAATATGCATACGCATATAAATGTGCATGTACTTACATTCACAAACTATGTAGATGTCATATTCATAGATACTTATGTATAGGTTTTTAAAAAAAATTCTAATTTTGTATATTCTTTCAATGTGTCTGCATTCCATCTGAGAGTAAAAATACCCTTAGAAGATAAAAGAAATTGGAATAAAACAGATATTATTTAGAGTAAGGAGAAACTACTAGAAATAAAGTTGTTTCTATTAAAATAAAACAAGATTTTATAATACACTTAGGTCAATAATTATTTTTCAAGGATAGATTGAGCAGAGGTGAATTTGATTGAATTTTTGCTAATTTAATCCTATGAAGTGTTTGCACCGACTTTTAAAAAAATTTATTTTTAAGTATTGATTTGTATTTTATGCTCTTAACTGTGGCCTAAACGGAAATGCTTCAGATGAATTTTCTTTTGAATTGCTAAAGTTTTTTATCCAATGAATAATCTCATCATAGTTTTTTTTGTTATATATTAAACAGGTTATGACCATCCAGGCAGAGGAAGTACTGTGATTCTTCACTATGATCCTGTCTGTTTACAGAATTAATCTCTACAGACAAACTAGCTCTTTCCTAGCTTTCCAAATATGTGGATTTAAATATCATGCTTTCAGCATATTTAATTGTTATAGACAGAGCATTTGAAATAGTCTACCCTGAGGCAAACATCTACCTGAAAGAAAAAATGAAAAATGTATCACTCAGTACATTCCAGAATCCAGCTACCCTATCCCCCTCTATACACATGTGGATTTTAAAGTTGGCTTTAAATTTAAATAGTTGCATAAATACCTCTCTGATACTCAGATATAGTTTAGAACAGTTAATCTAAAAATACTTGTATTATGGACTATGTAGTTGTCAAGGGCTCTGTTCTACACATTTTAAAATTTGCTTCATGCCAAGAGTTTCTGCTCAAATTGTAGTTAAAGACTGATTTCAAAGACTTTATCTTTGTTGCACATCTTGTGTTAAGTGTTGTTACATAGGACATAACTACTTTTACTCCCAGCCATTCTGAGACAGGCCTTCCACACAAAGCACAAATAGACTTCACTAGAAGGACATACTTCAGTTCCCTGCTAAATTTACTGATCATGGAAGATTGGTTAAAAGTGGTAATTAGCACAGTTCAGAAATTGTTTGACCACTGTGGGTGTCAACACAATTTGTGTGCTTAAGGATTCAGGGGATGACATTCCAGATATGACACCCTATTGAAGTAACTAGGAAGAGGTATCATCCCTCCACTACTGAGTTATGAGAGATCTATGTGACAATTTCAATGTCAGAAACCAAATAATAACAGCATAATAATTTCATAGCCCCATACCCATGTGTGTATGTGTATATATATATATATATATATATATGTAAATTGAACCAACTTTTTACATATAAATATTCCTAGGGGCTGCATTTTAATATTTTAAGTGTATAGTATCTATTAAATACATGTTTTAACCAATATATGTACTTAAGTTTTACTGAAATCTGGAGTCATCATCAATCCTATTTGACAGATTAGGAAGCTGAGATTATGGAAAAATTTAAAAGCTTAAAGGCAGTGTAATCAGAAGTAACAAAGTAGTTATAAGTACATATGTGAATAGAGAAATGGATGTATAATAATAAGTATATATATACCTACATGTATAATATGTGTTTGCATATATATGTGTACATATATATGTATGCTTGTTAATGACAACTGGTTATATTTCAGAACTATTACTATCTTCTGAATTTTTCACAAGTTTCACTGTATCAATAGTATTTTCTCCAATGGACTATGGTAGATTACTGTGACTTTGGTGATAGGTGTGGTGGGATCACTATATTTATAGATGTGTGAACCAGTACCCCTAAAAAATACATACAATGCTGCAAACCAATATTACTTACTAAATGTAATTTTTTAAAGAATACTGTTTTCTCATAATATAGTAACTAGTCTACATTATCTATGATATTATCAGTATTAATCTTTCTATAATCTGATGCTATCTTCAGATACATTAGACAATTAAAATATTCAGTCTTTATAACAGCATTATTTTAGATGCTCAGGCTTCATCAATCATGGCTTTCTAAAGTTTATTTTGATTGAAAATCTTAAACAGAAATACTTAGAAATAATTCACTATTGGTTGTCTTTTGAACTTGAGAACATGTTAAATGACATTATTTAGTTCCTGAACCAAAATTATGCTTAGAAAATGTTTTCTTAATGACTGTGTCTGTATAATTAAAGGACTTTGACTTGTAATTTTCTCATTACCAAAGAACTGCTTCATATCATTACACTTTTAAGAAGAGATCTTGCCCTCCATTGATCAAATTTACAGGCTCACTTGCTTAATATTGTGGTGCAAGTGACTGACCTATAAAATACTCAGAAAAATGGAAGATGATTTTGAGAGAACTCTACTAATAAAGTAGGAATATATTCCTGCTTTAATATCAGGATATCTATAGCTTTATAAATATTTTATGACATTTAAGGTTGACTTTTTTTGTTTTGTCTCTTTTTAAAATTATATATTTTTTAAAGCTTTATTTATTTATGCATACAAGAGCTGGGGTACAGGCCAGAGGTGTGAGGGGTGAGAGGATTCACCAGAGACAGAGTGGGGAACAGAACAGGCAGACTGACTGAAATACACTGCTGAGGGCAGCAGTGGGCAAGTCAGGAGAGGTCTGCTGTGCCATGTGGGTTGCTCCCTGGCTGCGGGTAGCTTCTTCATAGGTTGCATCTTAACTCCTTGCACCACCAGAGAGGCCCACTTATATTTATTTTAGTTGTACAACTGGCTTCCCTCATCAGGTAGTAGCACTTTACTGCACCCACCATCAACTCACCCATAGTCCATTGTGCTTCTTTCCCTCTTAGTTCTTACCCCTTTCTTCTCCCTCCCGACTTTGCTTCTTCATTTCTGTAATCAGCTGCCAAGAGTTACTGTTTAAGCATGTCTTTATGTGACTCTTAATTTATTACTTCTTATTCCACATATTGGTGACATCATCCAGTATTTATCTTTTCCTTCTGACTCACTTAGCATAACCTCTTCCAGCTCTATCCATACTGCCACAAATGGCATGAGTTTATTATAGATTTTTGTTACGTCATAAGGTAATGTGGCTGTGTCATTGCGTGGTTTAAGGGAGGCACATCTTACATAATGTCATGAACACCCACTCATCATGCTTATGAACTGGAAAATGATTGATTTATCTTTTTTTGATGGTTGAGTAATATTCTAGTGTGTATCTATACCACATCTTTTTGATCCATTCATCTGTGTGTAGGCACTTAGTTTTTTTTCGGTTATTTAACTATAGTAAATAGTGCTGCAATAAATATGGGAGTGCAAGTTTCCTTTAGAATTAGTGTTTTTGAAATTTTGGTTAAATGGCTAGGAATGGAATTACTGGGTTGACTGGCAATCCATGTTTAAAGTTTGTTGTTTGTTTGTTTTTTTTTTTTTGGTGGGACCCTCGCCGGCGGCTGGGGAATGAACCGGTGCTGCAGAAGCTGCGGGCAGCCTCGCAGCCCAGTGCTCAACCGCTGCGCCACCAGGGGAGGTCCCATGTTGAAAGTTTTGAGACACCTCTATACTGCTTTCCACAAAAATTGGGCCAGTTTGCATTCCCAGCAGCAGTGTAGGAGGGTTCCCTTCGCATTCTCACTGGCACTTGTTTCTGGCTTTTGTGATATGGGCTGTTCTTAAAGGTGTAAGATGGTGTCTCATTGTGGTATTGGTTTGCATTTCAACAGGAATGCATGATGGTGAACATTTTTCATGTGTCTTTTTGCTGTCTGAATGTCTTTGGAGAATTGTCCTTCTGCCCATTTTATTGGCTGGACTTTTTGTTTTGCTTTTGTGGCGTTTTATGAGTTCTTTGTATATCTTTGATATCAGTTCTTTGTCAAACGTATGATTCACAAATATTTTTACCATTATGTTGGGTATCATTTGTTTTAGTTTTAGGTGGTTTCTTTCTGTGCAGAAGCTTGACATTTTTAATCACCTCATTGTGCAAGTTACTACTTGATTAACTTGTGTATGTATAACTTAATAACAAATAACTTAAGTTTTAACTTTTCGAGGAATAAGATGTTATAATTTCTGGAAACTGGGACTTTAACTTTTTCCAAAAATGTTTGCAAGCTCATGTTTATTCTCTCTATGAGCCTCCTGAGTTAGATGAGAATATAAGATAGCTGTGAAAAATGAGATAAGCAGAGGTTAAGGGACTTAACCAAGACTCCTGAAATGTTACCTGTAGAGCAGGATTGACTCTCCTAGTCACATTCCTAGTGACTAGTATGCAACTATAGTCACCATTTTTCTTTCTAAAAGTAGGAAAATACTTGAATAGTTTTGAAATGTAACAGGCCTTTCCTGTTTGCTTTACTGATAGGGGGGTCATTTGCTTTTAATACCTCCATTATTTATTCTAGAGAATAAATAAGCTTTTAAAGGAAATTTCAAAGTTCCCTTTAAATTGTAGTAGTGACTTAGGGGAAAAATATTTAGTGGCTTAGGTAAAAATAAAAGTTAACTCCAAATCATATTTATCCCTAGAAGTATTGTGATATGAGTGCAAAATATAGTAATAGTTCTGTATCATTGTAATAATCATCATCTGATGATAGATGAAGTAACATGCATGCTAAATAAGTAGTGTTGATATTATACTTTACACCCATTCATAAGGAAAACTATATAAATATCCAATAGCTTAATGGCAGGGAAAATAATGAATGATTTTTAAGCACAAAAAAAAACCTTTGTCAGCAATTGAAATCCTGTCATGAACTCACTTTTAGTTGTAGAACCAGAGTCTGCATCCTGAGACAAATATACATAAAGTTCTATACTTTAAGCATATTTAAATAAAACAGCCAAATAAGCTGAAAATAACTTGTCAATATTATCTTGGTAGGAAGAAATGACTGAGTGACTTTTATGTTCTTTTTGCAGTATATCAGTCCCGTTTTATAAGTTGCTTTTGAAACATTTAAAACACATAATCATGGAAAATAATTCTAGAGATAAAAAGTAGAAATGAATTAACTTATTAGTGTATTCATTAAAGGAATAGTGCTCTGCCAGGCCTGTGCTGGGATCTGGATATATAATTATGAGGCAGCAGCAGTCCTGAAATCTTCCCTCATGGGGTTTGCAATGTCGTTGAGTGACAGGCCATGATCAGAGAGGCGTCCAAAAACTTATGAAATTTTAAGTAAGGTAAACACGACACAGGAAGTCACATGGTGCAGGGAGAGAGAATGTAGTAAGTATCTAGCATGCTGAATGTATAAAACAGAAAAATAAACCAGCTGAACTCATCTATAACTGCACAATTGGTTGTTTTTCATATTCCAAAATTTTTTTCTTGGTCACAAGAAAATAATTGCTGGATATGTTGCCATTAATTGAAGAGATTTTTCACTTGAAAATGAATTGTATCTCTTTTGATAAAGAAAAGGGTTGTAAAATTTTTTTAATTACTATTTTTCTTTAGGATTGCTTAAAAATTTACCACATAGACATTAGGGTTGTTTCCACAGCTTAGCTATTGTAAATAGTGCTGCTATAAACGTAGGGGTGCGGGTGCCCTTTTGAATTAATGTTTCTGTGTCCTTTGGGTAAATACGTAGGAGTGGAATTGCTAGATCATATGGAAGCTTCATCTTTAGTAGGTTGAGGCATCTCCACACAGCTCTCCATAGTGGATGGACCAGTTTGCACTCCCACCAGCAGTACAGGAGAGTTCCTTTTTCTCCACATCCTCGCCAACATTTGTTGTTGCTTGTTTTTTTAATATGTGCCATTCTCACTGGTGTAAAAAGGTGTAACTGTATCAAGAAGATGTATATGTATTCCATATACACAATGGAATATTGTTCAGCAATCAAAAAAGATAAACACATGCAATTTGCAGCAACATGGATGGAGCCGGAAGGGATCATGCTCAGCGAAATAAGCCAGAAAGAAAAAGAAAAATACCAGATGGTCTCACTCATAGCAGGAATTTAGAAAACCTAAATAAGGGACCAAGGAAAAGACTAATTATAACAAAGTAAAAATCAAAATCAACAAGCAACTATAAGCGAGAGACACACTATGGGGGGGTGGGGAGAAAGGAGGGAGTAGGATCCAAACCAGGGTGGGTGGGAATTGTATGGGGACTATAACCAAAATGAAAATGCATACATTGTGCAAAAATGAAAAATGATGTAAAAATTTATAAAATGCAATAAAAAATACCAGATAGAGACGTCTGTGGAACAGAAGTTCATATTAAGGACAATTAAAACTGTAGTTGTAGGGATATTATTTTAAGATGGACTAAATTTATTAATCACTTATGGGTTTTGAAATAACTCACTTTTCTGACCATCACCTCCAACTAGTGCATCTTCATTGAGTCTTTGTCAATCCAATATGAATAGTTGGATACAGTCAAAGGCAAAAAGGAAACTTGACCACTTGTGGGAAATACTAAGACATGAAGGCTTAGATATAATAGGATCAAGAAATACAGTGAATATTTTGGAACTTTTTTGGAAATGAAGGCAAAGTGTATAAACAATAAAAATAGAAGGAGGTTTTAGTGCCTCAGCGATTTTTCAGTAGAGGTAAATTTTAAGCCTTTGGTAAAAAAGTACATGCTCGTGATATGTTAGTAAATTAACTGCTTCTAAAATCTATTTTATCTATTTTCTTCAGAGCCCCCTTTTCTTAATTCTATTAGAATAAGTGAATATTTAGTTCTTTACAGGTAATCATTTTAAAAGCAAGACATTCTATGTGCATGCAGAATCACACAATCTGAAAATTTTTGGGTAATGTCATTTTTAATCTCTTAAAAGGATACTTTTCCATTAAATAAAGGTTTTTTTATGTGAATAATTATTCTTAAATTATTCTGAAGTTTAAAGAATAAAACACATTAAATTTGAGGCCACTTTTAGATATTTCCTATTTCTTAATAGGAAAATAATTTTCTCTAGTATTTCTTAGTAGAAAAAATTTGAAGTGATGATTTTTAAAATCCAGAACAGCTTAATGACTGCAGGTGAAAACAATCATTTAAACAAATCATCTTTTAACTTTCATTTGTTAATACAAATTTGCACTCTTTATTTTAAATTTTTCCTTGAAAATCTTGATTTTTTTTTTTAAAAAAGTATAAATTTGGAATTGATTTTTCTTTGGTCGGTTCCATAATAAATTACTTAAATTACTTCTGTGTTGCCTCATAAAATTAGGAGGTAGGAGGAGGAGAGCTGCATCTGAATTTTTTTCTGGGCTGGGCTACACCTGGGTATGCACAAATGTGTTACTTTCCAAGTACACATGTGGGCTCTCAGTCTTCTCCCTCCAGGAAACTGAGATAATCATTATTCAAGATTTAATGCTTTTTTAAAAAAGATTTATTTTGTTTATCCATACAAGAGCATGATGCAGGCCAAAGAGGCAGTGCAGGGGAGGAAGGGGGCAAGAGGATTCACCAGAGACAGAGTGGGAAGCAGATCTACTGAAATATACTGCTGAGGGGAGCTGGGAGCTGTGGGTAAGACAGGAGAGATCTGCACCATGTGGGTGAGCTCCCTGGCCTGGGATTGAACTTGTGTGGCAGTGCTGCCATAGCTTCATCGTGCTGAGACTTAACCCCTTTAACCACCAGGGAGGCTCAAGCTCTAATACTTTTGTCTAGTGTGGTGCTTCACGGTCAGTGCAGTGGCTGAATTGTTTGGACAGGTCTCACCAGTCCTTGATTCAGTCCACCTGCTCAAACAGGACTTGCGGCCACCCCTCCTACCAGCTCACAGTTTCTTCTCTGTGAACTGTCTCGCTGGTATTTTCTAATATGAAATATCCACCCCCTAAACATGTGGAGAATGACTAATAACGGAAATACAACCATGTGTAGATTTGTTATTCAAAGACTGTACATTTTCCCACATGATACTTAATTTGTCTGAATTTCCCAGTAACTGACTTAATGAACGTCCTGAATTTAGATGGGCATGGGTTAGAAAATGTTTCTCTTCAATACTCACCTGTTGACTCTGTCTTCCCACACCTAGACAATACTAAATTCCCATCATTTTCCCATTTATTTTATATGGTAGAATCTCATTTTCTCGTGTTAATATTTTATCCGGATCCATCTTTCATGCTCTCATTCTGTTCATTTTTTTTTTTTTTTC